GCTTACCAACACTGCTACCTGTTTACCATAAACTTTTTAATACCGTTCTTAACTTAGGAACAGTGCCTAAAAATTGGTGCAACAGTCTTGTAACTCCCATATTTAAATCTGGCGTAAGAAATGACCCATCAAATTACCGCGGGATTTGTGTTTCTAGTTGTCTAGGAAAGTTGTTCTTCTCAATTTTAAACCAAAGACTTCTTGAACACGTCACTTCGCTGAACATACTCCACAAGTCTCAAATAGGCTTCTTACCGAAAAATCGAACATCAGACCACCTCCTAACATTACGAACTCTTATAGACAAGTACGCACACTATCACGGTGAAAAAGTATACGCTTGTTTTGCTGACTTTAGAAAAGCCTTTGACTCAGTCTGGCATGACGGACTTTTATATAAATTATTACAAATTGGTGTAGGGGGATGTTTCTATAAGTTAATCAAAAACCGATATTCAAACTCTTCGTGTGCATTGAAAATAGGTACGAGTCAAACAACATCTTTTAGCTATTCACGAGGCGTACGCCAGAGCTGTATTTTAAGCCCCTTGCTTTTCAATTTATACGTTACTGAGTTACCATCCGCATTTCAAAATACTTTATCAGACCCTATCATCCTTCCAAATGGCACCAAATTAAATTCGCTTTTATATGGCGATGATTTAATTATTATATCACGATCTAAAATAGGATTACAGAACTGTCTCAACACACTATCCTCTTTTTGCAACTCTTGGATGTTAGATATAAATTCCAAAAAGACCAAAGTCTTATGATCTTTCAAAAAGGAGCGAAGAAAAACTCCAATCTAGAATTACATAAAGGTAAAGAAACCATTGATATTGTCCATGAATATACATATTTAGGAACCCGTATCTCCTCAACCGGCAATTTTAATATCTCACTCGAACACTTGAAAGAAAAGGCTCTTCATGCTCTTTTTCGTTTAAGAAAACACACAAACTTTAGCAAATTAAAACCTTCTCTTGCTTGCAAAATATTTGAAGCGATGATTTCCCCAATATTATCATATAATAGCGATTTTTGGGGATGTATATGTAAAACATGATTTTAAAGCTTGGGACAATACCCCAATTGAAAAAACCCACTTGAAATTTTGCGCTACCTAGAAATAAGCAATAAAGTTTCAAATGTTGCAAGTAGAAGTGAATTAGGACGATTGTCATTAATTATTAATATTTACAAAAACATCCTTTATTACGTATTGTATCTTCTGCGTAAAAACGAGGATACTGTTGTTAAACAAGCCTTTCGTACCTCGCTAAAACTTCACTGTAATGGTAAAAATAGCTTTACCATAATCTTATGAAAATATCTGAATATCATGACCTGCCTGATTTTGATCCTAACAATTTGAGTGAAGCTCAGATCAAACACTATATAGATATAACTAGTAACAGTTGTCACTACAGCTGCCCCCGTGATGCAAAGTGTTGCATTATTTTTATTTGCAAATTTTTATAGTCTATACCGTATGTGTTGACTGTTGTTATGTTGTAATAGTCTTTTAACTCAGATCAGAAAAGGTGTAGCCTGAATTTGAGACGATTACTTTGAGTTGTTTTTACTCTCTCAGGGGGAAAATGAGTCGAAGTAATCGTCTGAAATCCAGGCTAGAAAAGGCGGAAAAGGCAATAGGAGTTTGGAACGAACAGAGTATGGAATATCGACGAAGTCGCAGTTCGTTTACAAATAAGTTTATTAAAGGATATCGTTTATTGACAATATTACTATATCTAGTGTTATTTAATTGAAAAATTGGTAAAAATACTGTATAACTAACAAAACGGAACTACTGCCTATGCAAAATATGGCTATTATATATAATTTTTGTTTGCATAGTGGCAAGAAAATTGTGTTGATCAGAACGATAATTGTTATTCGTTGTGTAAAAATGATGTACAGGATATATGCAACAGAGAAACTAAGTGTCCCATTCAACTGTGTTTGCATGAAGATAACATTAACTTTAAAAACTAATTAGATCTCTTTGTGCTATTGCTTTTACAATACGTAGCTGTTATATTTTTTTTCTTTTTTGTTTGCATGTTCGCAGAAAACTGATTTAATTAGAAAGATAATAAATCTTTTTTTTCTAAAATGGTGTAATAGGCTATAACTAACTCAGTGTTCCACTCGATTGTCTTTGCAAGAAGATAACAATAACTTTAAAAAACTAATTAATTGGCCTTGTGCTACAGTACAACATGTATCTAGAAACTGAGCGCTTCACTCATCTGCCTTTGCAAGAAGATAACCTACAATAACTTTTAAAAATATTTCATTGAATTTCTTTGTGCTACTGCTCATGCAATATGTGGCTGTTATATTCATATATATACTATTATACGGCATGCAAAAAAACGTTTTAATCACAAAGGTCATTAATCATTGTTTGTTGAACAACAATGATATGTTAATATGGTATATTCAACACAGAAACTGAGCCTCAAATTAATCTGTTTATGTGAAAAAAGAT